GGAGTAATAAAAATGTTGATTCATATACTGAACTAAATAAAAAGGTATGAATTTGATAAAAATGAAGTCATATGACGATATTTTTTTTTTTTTTTGCAAGAAGATTTTGTATTTCTTGTTTTATTTATATTATATTATTATTATTAACTTTTTAGTCCTTTTAAATATAAATTCTCCTTCGCATTCCTTCTGAAATGTATATATATCTAATATTACTACTACACATATTTGCAAATACATGTTTAATTGCACTAAAATCTAATTCAAATTGCTTTCTTTTTGTAACTTTAATTTGAGCACTTACATTAATATATCAAAGTAGTTTGTAATATAAGTTAAAGAATACAACTTGAATAGAAAAAAATGACAAGAAATTGGAAATGAGAGAAGGGATAAGAAAAAACTCATAAAATAAAAGTTTGTATGTTAAGCAATTATAGAAGAAAGAATTAGTAAAGACTTACGTAAAAAGAAGAAGAAGAAGAAGAAGAATTGTTAAATGCTTTCTCTTATTTTATAATATTTCATGTAGATCTTAGATATTAAAAATACTTATAGTTTGTTTTTTATTAAAATAATAGTTGATACTTTTAACCTCAATTTTTAAGGATTATGAATTTGATTAAATAAAGATAAAATAACTAAGAAAGATGAAAAAAATAATAATAAAAATATGAGATAAAAATATTTGATTATTAAATAATAATTAATAAAATTTATATTAAAAAAGAAAATCAAAATGCTACCTTATGTATAAAGAAAATCTATATATCCAACAATGAATGATTTATATGTATATATATAATATGCTACCTTATGCATTAAGTAACTAGGGTATGCATTTATTTAAAATGTAATATTATATTATATTTATTTCTTATCATTCTTTTCAAAATACTACCCTATGTATTAATTAGGATATGTATTAACAAAAAATATAATAAAAATTAAGAACTGTGATATAAGTGAAGAGATTAATTCATCTAATCATTTTTCTTCTTTTCTTTTTGTAGCATGCTAATTAATTTCTCTTGTTATATGAAGAGGCAATACCATTTAAGTAGTTTTTTTCCTTTATATTACCATATGAATTAATTTCTTTTAGTAAATGAAGAGGCAAGGCCGTTAAAATATGTATTTACATAAAATATAATAAAAACTAAAAACCTATATGGTAAAGAGATTGGTTCATCAAATTTTTTTTTTTTTTTTTTTGTGCAGCATGTTAATTAATTTCTCTTGATATATGAAGAGGCAAGGTCATCTAAATAATGTTTCCGAATAATGTTTCCCTTTACATTATCATATGAATTAATTTCTTTTGATAGATGAAGAGGCAAGGCCACTTAAAATATATAGAAAAATGCTACCCTATGCATTAATTAGGTGTATGCATTTATAAAAAAAAATAATAATAAAAACTAAAAACTACAATATAGATGAAGAAATTGGTTCATCTAACTATTTTTTTGTGAAACATAGTAATTAATTTCTTTCGGTATTTAAAGATACAAGGCCATCTAAATAATGCTTCCCTTTGCATTACCGTATGAATTAATTTTTCTTAGTAGATAAAGAGGCAAAGCTATTTAAATATAGAAAATTGAAAAAAAAAATCTAACAAAATGAAAAATGAAGAGATGAGTGTTGATTATTTAAACTCTTTATAAGAGACTAAAATAGAACTAATATGGCCAATCTAAATAAGACTTTAGAACCAATGATTTAAGCAACCTAATGTAATCTAAGTAAAATAGATGACAAAAAGTTGAATCCATTGTGTATCTCAAAAATAAATAAATAAATAAATAAGAATTTAAATTTTAGTCAAATAATAAGACTATTGCAACTAAATATATTCCAATGTTTAATATGAATCACTAAAAAATTAGAAAAAAAAACAAAGATAAAACAAAAATGACAAGATTTAATATTATAAAATTGAAATAGTATTAAATTTTGATTAATTGAAAGAGTTTTAAAATTCAAATTTACAATATATGAGAACTGAATTTTTTAAATTGGAATAAACAGAAAGTGTAGTTTAAACTATAAAATTAGAAAATTACCTTAAGGTGAAAAAACATATTTTGGTACAATATAGTTTCATAAACATATTTTCTAATACATAATACAAAATACTCTAACATATTTGTCCTCTAACATATTTGGCCTTGGATGCTTCTTCATAGGTAAATTAAGCTTTTCAACCAAAACAGTGCTAGCTACATTAGTACAACTGCCACCATCAATAATCACACTACATACCTTATTTTTGATATGGCACCTCGTGTGAAATATGTTGTCGTGTTGTACTTCATCATCTTCTTTGGCTTGCACATTCAAAGCACGCCTGGTGACAAGTAGTTCTCCATCAACAGCATATTCCATGCCATCATCAGCATCTTCCAATGGTGGCATAGAGCCATCATCAGATTCACCCTCTGTTTCTATTTCTCCATCTTCTCTCAAGATCATCGTGTGCTTATTAGGACATTGTGATGCAACATGCCCCCTTCCCAAGCATCGAAAACACTTGATGTCTCGGTTTCTGCCTTGCGTATTATCTGTTTTACTCTTCTCATTGCTGCCAACTTCTTTTGACTTAGATGCTGCAGTTTTAGGCTTAAAAACAGAATTTTCTTCCTTTTTGCTCCAATTCAATTTCCAAGAAGATGAGGAACCTGAATTTTGTCTAGCTCTGCTGGTGGCTCCTTTACGCTTGAGTTGCCATTCTACTTTCGTCGCCATGTGCACCATATCTTCTAATTCTACATAATGCTGCAGCTCTACCACATTAGCTATATCACGATTTAAGCCATGCAGAAACCGTGCCATAGTTGCTTTTCTGTCCTCTTCCACATTCGCTCTAACCATTGCGATTTCCATCTCTTTATGATAATCCTCAATGCTTTTGGACCCTTGAGTAAGGCTCTGCAATTGCTGATAGAGATCACGGTAGTAGTGACTAGGAACAAATCGTTTTCTCATCACAGCTTTCATCTCTTCCCAAGTGTCAACAGGACGCTCTCGATTTCTATGTCAACTAAGCACAAGCTGATCCCACCACACCATAGCGTAATCAGTGAATTCCACCGCTACTAGTTTCACCTTTTTCTCCTCAGAATAGTTATGGCAATCAAACACCAATTCCACCTTCTTTTCCCACTCCAAATACACATCTGGGTCATTTTTGCCTTGAAACGGAGGAATCTTCATCTTGATGCTACCTAAGTCACGATCTTGCCGATCTCCCCACCTCATCAGATTTTGCTCTCTTTGGCCCCCTCGACCTCTCATAATTCTATCCATACTGAAATTTGAGTTCTGGGCATCATTGTTGAATGCATCTTCATAATCGCCACCAAAATTGTCATTAGCATCATTCCTACACAAATTCAGACTTCCATTCTGTATTTGGTATAACTTGGCTATCACTACATCTTGCTTCTCCATTTTGTCTTTAATCTCACTGAACATGATGTCCAGCCTCTGAAATTGTTGTTGCATTGCTTTGAGCATGAAGGATTCATCCACATGGTGGCTTCTAGTGGTTGATTTGTCATCACTGCTTAACATGATTGAAACCTGCAACGAATGTTAGAAACCAATGTTTTTAAACTCGAACCAGAGGTCAAACCGTTTTGATCTTTGGTTTATGGTTTGATCGGTTGAGCCGATTTAACCGGTAAAACCACCGGGTTGATCAAACTATTATAAATATATTATTTTGCAAAATATTTCACAAGGTGTTAGTTGGGTGCAGTGGTAGGTGGCTGATTTAGCATTTGAAAGTTCATAAGTTCAAGCCTTCGTGAGAACAAATTTTAATATAATTGTGGTTTTAAAGATATAATAAATATATTGTAAAGCAAAGAAATAGCAAATAAAAGGTTGTGTCTCAAGTGTTAGAGTCATTATTTCATATCATGGAGAATGAGTGTTTGAATCCCACGGATGTCATAAATAATTTAGTTAAAAGTTTTGAGAATTCTATTAGATAAATAAAATTCCAAGCATTCAAGACATAAGGATTGCATCGTCCTAGTGGTAAAGAGTCAGAATTAAAGTTTCAGGATTGTGAGTTCAAGTCTCGTGGGAGACAAATTTTTGAAGATTTCATGCCCAAGCATTGAATCGTCCGGTTGAACGGTTTATCGGTTTGAGTGGTTTCAACGGTTCTTATCGATTTCAAACGGTTTACAGTTCAAACGGTTTAAAAAATACAATCGAACCATTTATACCACTAGGTACCGGTTCAACGGGTCCAATCGACCGTCCAATCTAGTTTTCAAAACATTGTTAGAAACAGAAGAATAAAAGGACCTCACAACACTCATTTACGTGTTTCATTCTACTCTCTTATAGAATGGCACTCAACGCTCGTGTTTTGCACACTATAGAATTTGGCTTTTCTCTCAAGTATTGCTCACACCTCTTGCCTTTTTCCCTCACTCAACTTTCCTCTCTCAGTTCATTATTGAACTAAATAAGCTCAATTCAAGTTATTTTGTAGCAATCTAACTCCAACAAATCTGTAAGAGTTAAAGGAAACAAAAAGACATAAAGGAATGACCAAGAAAAGCAATAAAAGAATCAACCCAAACAAATTAAAACAAACAGATCAATTCAAGCACTTCTTAGTAGGAATTGACTTGACTATTCCTTAATGCTGTAGGATTCCTAACTTAGGAAGGAATAAACAAAATTGCTATCTCCTTATTTGAATAGAACTCAAAGAGAATTTCCAACTCCTTATTGGAGTAGGATTCCTTCTTCTTTAAGGATTTGGCCACAGATTTCTTCTCTATATAAGGAAATCCAACCAAAGAATTGTGTTGCTTGTTTCTCTCTCTCCTTTTTTTTTTCTTTTATTTTTTTGTGTCTTTTTTGTTTTTGGTGATCCTCTTCCTTTTTTTTTTTTAATTTTGTACGACCTCTTTCTTTTTTCTCTTTTTCTTTTTTTAATTTTCGTGCTTTTTTCTCTCTTTTTTCTTTTTGAACCAGCAACACATTCAGAAGAGCAAAATAAGAAAGAGAAGAATGACACTGAAATGTTTTTTTTGTTTTGTTTTTTACAATAAAAACTGAAAATTAAAGATACACAAACTTGATTTAGGATCGATGCTCTAATACCAAGATGATGAGAACCCCAAAGAGAACAATAAGACCCACAACACGACAAGGGATTTCTAAACTACAGGAAAGCTAAATCAGATTTATAATAGGACCTTGATCCATTGTTTATGTCGCAACAAGAACCAAAGGTAAAAACCTTGACCCATTGTCTATGATCCAACAAGAACCAGAGGTATAAATTGGTTGACGCCACACCCTCGAACGATTAAGAACGAGAATGATAAGTTAGGTTAGAACGCCACAAGAATAATCTTGATAAGTTCTGTAATGTTCTGAAAAGTTCCGAAACGAACCAAAGAGAAAAGTCTCTAAAAAACTCAAATTCAATAGCTCCCCCCAATTAGGGTTACAAGCCCTTTAAATAGGGAAAAGTAATTCTAATTAGAATAGGAAACTAACACCCTAAGCCCTAATCCTAATAACCACGAATTGGGCCTCAAATAAATGAATGCTCAGCCCAAACTAATACAAAAAATGTGAAAATCACTGAAAGTAACCTAAAGTAACATGAAATATTAGTTTGTTACAAATTGCCACAAAATTGTGGGATTTTGACGCAAACTGTGTAATTTAGCATAAATGACCTGAATTAAGCTTCTCTTGAATCTGAATGATATTTACCATGCCTTGATAATCATCCAAGCTTTGATTTACTTGTTGCATGTTGTTATCAACCCAGATCTGCTCAATAAGGCCATTTAAAGCTTCTCGCATCTTCTTAGCTCTAGCTCTCGTGACTAGACCTCCTGGAATGTGTAATGGATCTCTTGACGTGGTACATGTGGGGTCATCTTGATTCCCATCAAATTATCTCTACCATCCAATTTGTGGTAAGGATTTGTGGTAAGGTCTTAAGATAAATCTTTGGCTTCTAGTTTCAATTACTTTCATGTTATATTAACATTTAAAGAATTTTGCACACAAAATGTCAAACTTAACAAAACTCGAGTTTGCTACACTTGATATAATGGGTTCAAATTATTTGCCATGGATATATGATGTTGAAATCCATTTTGCTGCAAACAATCATGTAGAATCAATTGTTGAAGGAAATCAAGCATCTTTGCAAGATCATGCTAAAGTGATGATATTTCTTCATCATCATCTATATAAGGGATTGAAGGCTAAATATTTAACAATTAAAGATTTATTAGAATTACGGCAAAATTTAAAAGAAAGATATGATCACCAAAAATCAATGTTCTTGTCAAAAGCTCATTATGAATGGATGCATCTATAGTTGTAAGATTTTAAATCTATCAATAAGTATAATTCTATAGTATTTCTAATTTCATCTCAATTAAAATTATACAAAGAAAATATTACTAATGGAAACATATTGGAGAAGACATTCTCCACTTTTCCTATCTTAAATTTGCTTCTTCAATAACAATATTGAGAGTCTAGTTTTAAAAAAATTCAAAATTGATATCATATCTTTTTGTTGCCTAAGAGTGTTTGCTATTGATATGGAGTGAAAGGATATCAAAAGCATGTCTATCACGTAGCTAGGCATTTGATTGATATTTACCATTCCTCATTTAATAGAAGGGAAAAAAAATCTTGAAATGAATTTTATTAAATATAATAAGATGGATCTTGATATACACCTTAATGTTGTAAATGTTTTTAAAGGTGTTGAAAAGTTTAACATTGTTTGTAATATCCCAAATTTTTGGGAATATTTAAGTGTAAGTTAGGGACTTAATTGTGAGAAAAGTTGTTTTGAGGCTTAATGTGAATATTTCCAAAGTTGAGGGACTTAAAGAGGGAAAGATTTTGGATAAGGATGACTTCTTTTCTTTTTCTTTTTCTTT